CACAAATTCTCCTAAATCACTCGTACGCACAATTTAAGAACAAATCTGTGCGTACGAACGGTTCTTGCATGAGGCCCATTCCTCCCAATGTAGCATACATGGCAAATAGCTAAGTATATAAACAAGTAGAAGTACTGAGAGAAGGCACGCCAAGACCCTAGGATCAGTCACGGTACTAAAAGCATCACAGACGAGCCGAGCACGCTGCTGTTTCCAGGGAGTTTTTAGGAAGTTTATACATAAAATGAAAAAAAAGAACAAAATTTGGATAGACCGCTATGTTAGAAGGAAACCATGTTTTTCTACAAAAGAATATTGTGTATCCTTCAGGCATCCTTAAAAAATTCCTAGATCTATATGGTGACAACTGTAACAATGGGCTTCTGGGAGCGAATCTTTATTCACAAAATGACAATCGCACAATGCAAGGTCTTTCAAACAGGTCTTTCAAAACAGGGTTCTGACAAAGTACAAGACTGAAATATAGTATTAGTGGAAGATACTGGATAGAAGTTATGCAATTTTCGACACAAAAGACTGAGATGTAAGAATGAGAGTTTAAATCAGGCATGAAGATTCAATGGATGCATAGACCAATCAGGGCTTTAAGTTCTTGATTTACTGATCAATCCAAGTTCCAACACTCACTTATGATCAACAGATATCAGATGGAATGTGACCAAATTACTCAGATGCTAGATAAACGTGTCAGAAATAAGCTTTTTTGYAGGGTGGCTGGGCTCAGCTCAGTTAAAAGCTTGGTCATACAATAAAGGCTCAGAGAAGAACCACTGCTCCTTTGCAACAAAGTGAGTCAAGCAGAGGTGGTTTGGCCATCTGATTAGGATGCCTCCTGGTTCTTTCAGAATCATCCTTTTGACAGTAGACCCTTCTGCTTCTGATGCATTGATTTGAGTCTCAGAAAAACCTTCATTAAACTAGGTTTTAATCCCATGGCTGATGCAGATACTCCTGTTATATTGTCAGGCAAGATTATGTAAGCACACTACACTCACACATTTTTAAGTATTATAGCTGCATGAGTAACAAGTGTTGCATTTTCTATTCAAAGMCTATAATTTATTTCCATAGAATTTATATGTTTTTTCTTTACTAGTAAAAAGAAAGTCACAGTACAGGAAAATCATCTCACCACAACAGGTTTAGTGTCTGAGTCACCCCAACATTCAGAGCTGACAGTAAACAGCACCAACCAGTCCAAGAGCAAGAACCCTTGAATAAAACAACTGTTTGATGTGTGGAAAATAGACATCGAAGTCTTAATACTCTCAATATTTCTCTCTCAAGCTGCAGTGACAAATCCTCATCTGATTGTGCACTGAACAGTCCCCCGAGTGGATTCTACGCATGGTCCAGGATTATCCCGATGTGACAGCTTTCCAGCCAGAATTCCTCCAGTTTATCATTTAAACGACAACGGGGGGACATTTATCTCCGCGGCTTATCATCTCAGCCAGGCGCGCATGACACTTGTCTATTGCCGTCAGGGAAATATTCCATTGGTGATTCAGTTCAGTGCTTTGGTCTTCTCCATTTGAAACCCCCTTGTCTCTTATCTGCTTTCGCGGGGAAGGATCTTGATCCCTCATGAATGAAACAAAAGGAACATTAAGTGTCACTGTGYGATCAATGCAGAGGTCTGCTGGCAAGTGCCACTCAAGTGGGGTGTCAGGAATGTGCAGGGGTGTTAATTATTGTCACACTAGGGTTAAAATGTGGTTTGTAATAATCAGATTGAGGCTAGAAAAACCAGAAGGTTCAATTACTAAAGCAGCTGATTGGAGAATAAACCCCTAAAATCTTCATAATCAGGTGCTTTATTTGCCTGGTTGYTGGATGTAAACTGTTTATTTTCCTCTCTGACCAAGTGCTTTTGTTGCAAACATATAAAAGTACACACAGWGTAAAAAACTAAGACAAAATGTAAATGTAGAGTAAAAACCTAAGTTTAAGCCTTGTTTTAGAGGCAGCAAYTTGAAATAATTTGTTTTTGTTAACAGATTTTATGTTTAAAGTTGCATCAGTTTATTAAGTTTGGGGWGTGTTTTTGCTCTGACCTATCAGATTGGTTTGTTTGAAACGTGTCCAATCTTACACATTGTGCACAGCTGACCAACAAACAAGAAAAAACAAAAAACATGCCCTGTAAAAAGAGGTAGGTTCTGGTTTTAATGTAACTGGAGAGGTAACTGCCTTGTTCAGGGGTGTGCGACCTATTCCATTTGCTCTCTCCTGTTAAAAAAGAACTTAATAGCATTCACAACTCTGCTRGCCAGGAGGCTAGGGCCCAGTTTACAAGACAGTTTTTAAGCGAAAACCATTGCATTTCTGCTGTGTTACGACTGTCCAAAGACTTTTTAATTCCCATCTCAGAGTGAAGGTTTTTGGAGATCCCCATTGCGGTGTGCACCAAAGATGGCTGCAGTCAATAGTTATTTTGCACAAGTAGATGAACAATGATAATGGTAGATGGCAGAGCACGGTTTGTGCTGCTTACCATTTTCAACAAGTAGGAGCAACCAAACCTTATCCTCTTTCTAAATGGTAGTTTATGAATTTGCTGTTTTAGATTTAACCGTTCTAGAGCACGTGTGTGTGGATGCGTTAGTGTCAGCTAGTGACTAGGCATGGAAACTAGAGCTAGTTCAACAATTACCATGCAAGTATTCTATCATCTTCGAGTTTTCTGCTTAGTTGGAAATCTGCAGCTCCACCTTCATGTGGATTAGAGAGGTCATTTACCTACATAGTAGACAGGTGCATGCCAGTTTTGCTGGCACTACTGGTATGTCAAGTGGTCTGGCAATGATGGCACAGTTTTTAAAATAGCATGCCACAACTGGCCTGGTTGTAGTTTGCTTTACATGATGCTGGCTAGGGCTGCCACAAACGATTATTTTTATAGTCGACTAATCATTGATTATTTTTTTCGATTACTCGACTAATCGAATCATACGTTAATTGAATATAAAACATGCAGCTTATCGTGCCAGAATGCAGCTGCTATTTTATAACCTTCGTTAGATTTTAGCTRTATGCTAACTAAAAATAATTGCCGTGGAAGGCAAGCTCTGCCTTGCAGATATTGCATTGCACAGGTTTCTCTTTCATTTTCTTAAAATGATCCCACACTTTTGAGCTCCATTACTGGGTAGCCATGATACTAGAGCCTGTCTGTATAATGTCTTGTAACGTCCATGGCCTACCCCAGTTACCACTACTGTGCATGTGTGTCAAGGACAGAAAGGCAGATGCGGCAGTGGAAGGTGTCAAAGCAGTTTGGAGAGAAAAACTAAGTAAAAAGCAAAACAAAACAAAACAAAAAATGACTAATCGACTATTAAATTAGTCGTCAACTATTTTAATAGTCGATTAGTCGTTAACTAGTCGACTAATCATGGCAACCCTAATGCTGGCCCATGCATGGACCACCTCTGGCAAACAAGATCTGGGCCACCAAAGGGCCATCATTCTTTGAGGTATCTCAGGACTGTTTAACTGCTAGTACATTGTGCGGGGCAGAACTGGGCCAGACAGAGTTTGCTATGTAGAATATTCTTTTAATTTAGATTAATTGATTTACTGATTTGTATAATGCTTAACAACAACCAAATAAGGTGACAAAGCACTTCATAGTAAAAATCACATCACAARAAAAAGAGAAGAGAAAAAAAACCCCCACAAAAACAACAAAATAATTGCCACTGCGCTAGATGAWATTAAAAGCCTGTCTAAAGAAATAAGTCTTGGGCTTAGACTTAAAGATGCCCAGGTCAGAGGAGGAGCCAAGGTCTAGAGGGAGTTTTTTTTTCCCAGAGTTGAGGTGCTGTCACTGAAAAGACCCAGTCTCCCCAATGMTTTAGCCTTGTCCTTGGAACATCTAATAAAAGTCGATTTGACGACCTCAGGGAACTCCCACATACTGTACATGTAAGACAAACGTTTAGATAAAGAAGGGGGTGGGGGGCAGTGCTATTTCGACCTTTAAAAACAAACAGTAAAATTTTTAAATAAGTTCTAAAATGGACAGGAAGACAGTGCAATGAGGATAAAACTGGGGTGATATGCTCACATCTAGAGGTGTTGGTTAAAAGATGGGCAGCCATGTTCTGGACAAGTTGATATCATCTTAGTGAAGACCAAAAAACACCAAAATAAAGTCCATTACAATAACTGATGATGATAATAATATTAATAATAATAATCAATTCTAGAACTAACAAATGCATGAATGGTCTTCTCTAAGTCAGTGTGAGAAGAATCAGGCTGACTTCACTTGGTAAAGCTGGATGATTTGAAGAAAAAAGAAAAGAAAAGAAAAGAAAAAAAAAACAACTGCAATCAATTTCTATCTTGCCTTAATGGCAAATGATGACTAAACTAATTTCACTTTTTTTATTCATCTTTTCCTACTTGTTTATTTGAGGTAGGTGTCAGAGTGGGAGTGGGGTGGTGGGATGTGTGTGTGTTTATTATCGATTCAAAATGTTAAAATCTTAACAGGGTTACAAAACAACCTTTAACAACCTTTTTTTTACTATTTTTTGTTCATTTCTGACATTTTAATTTAATTTCAATGTTTTAATTTCTTGTAACAATTGAAAAATCAGTTCAACTTGATTTGACAAGTTGAGAGCCTCGTCAATGTTTCATGACAATGAAGAAAACTTCTGGCTAAGTGTATGTTGTTTTATATTTGGAACTGCAGCATTTTAACAAAAGTCCAATATTTGCAGGCATTTAAAAAAAATAAAAGCTAAAAAGGAAGGCATTTTGCATCATACCTCCTGGATTTTCTAAGCATRGCAGGCTCTTCATTAGTACCTCATTTTAGATCACTGTGAGATACTTAAAACAACAAGTAATCATATTTTATCACCTTTTCTTGAAAGTTGAGTTAAAGCTCTAAATGCATTTGCAACCTTAGTTAACCACARCATTAATGTTTCAAATTAAATCCTACCGACAGGAAACAGTACCTTGGAGTACAAATAGATTCGGTCTGTGTACTGGCTGGCACAAAACTGCAGGCCTGGGTAGACGAGCTGGGCGGTGCTGGCGTCATCTCCACCGTTGCCCTCATCATCACCATTAGCATCAGAAGCCGAAGACAAACACTTCTCAGCTCCGCCGTCTGCAGGGAGAGAAGCGGAGACTGRCTAATATTTCTCAGAGCATCTATTATTGGTTCATTATTGGCTTTCCTGGTTTTATTGGTACTCTGTTTGCTCCTTCAGTAAYGCAATGAATAGCAGAGACATTCAACTCCAGCAGCTTTGAGTATTTATAACACRGAGCATATTATTATTGAGAAAACATGACATTTGTGCACAGCGTCTTCAGCATACGGTCGAGAAAAAACAATCAAAACCTGATTATAAATTGTGAACTGAAGCATAATTATCTGTGACATTTGTATWTGAATAAAAGCCAACTTCTAAGATCAGAAGTTGATGCAACAACAAACCTAGCTATTTGGGAATGTCTAATGAGTGTGAACTAAAAAAATAAAAATAAACATCAGTAACTTTATGGTCATGGAATTTAACC